TTTAAAGCACAATCATTCACTTTAATAAGTTTAAACGTCTCCGATACACACTCACATGTCTCATCCCAAGTTCGATTCAAATAGAAAGAAATCAAACAAAACAAAAAGTTGATCATTGTTTTGCTTGAGTGAGACCAATAATAATTCATGTCTACTCTATTTCACGAGCATTGAGTCAAAAGATGTGCTTTTTGATGAATATACAAACTAAAAAAAGAATCTGCACATTGACAAAAAAAAAAAAAATGCTGAACAAATCAGTCCATACATACATGTTGCAGCACAATCTCTTCACTGCTCTTCACTAAGTTTTGCTTTGCAGCTTTGTAGATGAAGATTATAATGAACAAACGCCAACTCTTCCAGATGTTTTTTTTCACGACGGCTCAATCCTTCTGTGAGCAGCAGCTGCTCGGCTAAGCTTCTCTTCAGCTTGTACCTTGAAGCACCTTCACACGTCTGGCTCAGAATCTTAATGGCGAAACTCTGCAGTTCTGGGCACTGGCTCGCCTTTTGAGCCCACCACTCAGCTGCAAAGAGATACAAAAAAATGACAAAAACCCTTTGATCACTGATTCAAGAACAACTTAAGTGTTTGCGAAGAATATAACCATATCGAAAGTTAGGAAGTTCACATACCTGGAGCAATTTCAGATATCAGATCAGCATGACTGGCCTCGTTAAAGCAATCTTTACCGAGTGTGTACATTTCAAGCTGTGTGGAAATTTTAGCTTGGATGTGACATTCTTTCACAATACGAACCAAAGAGGAGATAAAGCCGATGGTAACTTCTGGATCAGAATTGAAATCGGTTGAGTAGAAAGCAGCCGGATTCAGAAAGTAACCCGTAACATGAAGATGACTGTGAAGGTGCTTGTTCCAGACCTCATCTATCACATCCCATAACGGTTTGTAACATAGTTCCTCGTGATTGAACTCCCTCGCAATACTGTCCTTAATGCCATCCATAGTGTCATAGATATATCCAAGATGCTGATTATTGGCAGTCGATAACAAGAGTAGACCGCGAATCAGAGGAGATGTGGACTTCACAAGTCTCTCAACAGATTCCCAAAAAGAGGAATCCTTCATGAATTTGGAAATTTTTATGCCCTCTTTATTGCAATCAGATGAAGCAAACATGGCTGCCAACTTGTTCTTCGCCTTGAAAATATTCTCTAGAGTAAGATACGGCATAACAAACTCAAACTCGGATGAGGAGACTGCCATGTCTATTCCATTACTGTGATCTTCAAAAAGTTTCCAAACCGCGGGATTGTTGTTGACGAACTCTGAAATGTTATTGACCTTGTCAAGTATGCCTCCAAAGGAATCCATTTCCCCAATTTTCACCAGCATAAGCTCGAAGCAGTGAGATATACTCACAGACCAGAAAACTTTATTGTTGTTACCCGCAAAGGACTTGCCTAATTCACCAACCCAGCCAGAGGTCGAACATGCAATGATTTGAATCACGTTATGCACTCCAACTTCCTCAAGAAGCCCATCTACTACCGATGTTAAGGCGTTGACATCGTTTTTAATACCCGTAACATCAAAGGATATCAGATAAACTGGACCTGCTGGACAATCTGCAACAAAAGCAACCAAATCTCGGCCTTTCTGGTCAACCCAAGCATCCAACAAGATGCTGCATCCTGTGATCGCCCACGATTCTTTAATATTTTTCACATGATCTTGTACTTCCTTCAATGTTTCTTGAAGCATCCATCCATTTAAATCATGTGAATTAGGGAGCGTGTGCCGGATCTGACCACCACCTTCATTCGTTACACGCAGCATTTCTTCGAAAAATGGGGAATCCACAGCTGAAAAGTCTATACAAAATTCGTAAAAGAACCGACCAATGGACATTTGGGATTTCCTTGACAACAAATCCTGTTTATTAGCCTCCGCACCTGTATTTACGGTCTCAGGAGAAACACTTTTGCCGGATGAATCTTTTCTTCCACGCTTATGACCATTACCCACTTGGACTTTTGCTGGATTTACGTTCTCAGGAGAAACACTTTTGCTCGATGAATCTTGTTTTCTTCCACGCTTATGACCATTACCCATTCGGACTTCCCCAATAACTCTCTTAACAGGAGTAAGACTAGGCTTTTCCTTCATAACCATATCGTGAAACATCTCTCTAACAGTAAGACTAACTTCGTCACATGGAGTTACATCGTGACCTACACTACCCAAGTGACATTTCAGACGACTCCAGCTCTGCATTTCTTTTCCACAGTGGTTGCATTTAACCCGATATTTCTTCTTGTCCACACAAACACCATGCTCATGAATGTCCATGTCCTGACCAGCCATTCAAAGATTCCTTTAATTCAGAAAACACACAGAGAATGAATCAGGCTTAGAAGCATTTCTCGCTTCTCACAAGTCCAGATTCCAGCTGTTACCTGCACTTCAACCCCAATATAAACAGTTTGTGAAATCAAACAAGAACATGCATCAAAATCAAAGCTTGAATGGACTTAATTTGACATAGAATTCCCAAACTTTATCTCAGAATGATTGAAATCGTTCATGTTCATGGAGAGAGAACGAATAAAAAAACGAAACTTTAAACCTTATACTGACGATTAACAGTTTTTTTTTCAAAACCCACCAAAGAAAAAACAAACTCAGTGTTCGGATGAGTGTATACCTGAGTCGCTGAGTCAGGGCGAGTCACACCGTCGAGTCGATTAACAAGAGAACGAAACCCAGGAAGAGAAACAAAAACCCTTGTTCTCTCGTTTTCGAAGAGAGAGGTAAAAGTGGATAACCTTTTTGTTTTTTTTTGACTCCGTAAATAATTTGTATACATGAAGGTCCACCTTCCTTATTGTAGTTTCTCTCTTTCTCACTAACCAAAATGGTTTAAATTTCCAAATTGTTTTCACATAATTCAATGAATGAGAATCCTCAAACAAGTTTACACATCCTCAAGATCCTTTAATAAGTTTACACGTGTCCGACAAAGATCTACATTACAAACATCTACCAGCAACAACTACCAAATTACCACAAACCAGACCATATTTACACATTGAAGAAATCTACTACCTCTCAAGATCTTCAGTTTCAGCTTTGTTCTCAAGCCTGGGACGTTTCCGAGGAGATTCACATTTATCGTCTTCGGTTTCAGAAGCTTTGTTCTTTCCAGAAGATGATGGTTGAGGTGAAGATGCTTCGGTTTTGGACATGTTTTGAGGATCTTGTATAGATTCATCACTAGGTGATAACAATGTTTGAGAAGAAGTAGAAGACGGACAAATCAACCTTCCGGCTTTGCGTTGTTCTTCCAGCATCTTTTCCAAGTACTTAGCATGCTCTTCTATTCGTAGCTGAAGCACCCGTTGCACCTGCACGTTGATCAATTTACGGGATTGGTTTACGTAGCAAAATCTTGAAATGTGTCTAATTGCTGTGTAATCGGTTTTACCTCGAGCTGTTCATGTAATTGCTTCTGAACTTCCATCTGCATACGCAGAGCTTCGGTTAACTGAATTGCCCTGTCCATGGAAAAAAAAGAGAGTCACTTCAAGGATAATGTTGAAGGATTCAATATGGAAGCAGAGAACCAAGTAAAGGAAACACACAAATGCCTTACTCTTTCTTTTTCTCATCAGCTTCACTGTTACTCAAAGCCAGTTTCTTTTCTTCCGAGTTACTATTCTTTTTCTCTGCGGAGTAAACGAAACATACAAAGCACGAAAAAATGTCAGATGGATCAAAACTCATGAAGGAACAGAGAAACTCTGTAATCACAATCACAAATTTGGAAGCTTTACCTTCTTTTCTCTCTGGCATATACTTGGCTAGTCTATACTTCTGCAAATTCATGAATTTCAGAGATATTCAGCTAATTTGTTAATTATGTACTTGAAAACTTGATCAGAGTCAAACTGATTCAGTACCTGCAAGTGGCTTTTTACATGATAGATAGTCAAGCTCTCAACATTCATGAGCTTCAGAACAGCCTTTGGAGTGGCCTCTACATGTTTTAAAATAACACCTTGTTAAGCAATGGAAAGCACAAGAATAGCTAGTGTTCTGCTATTATAAGTGCCTACGATTATCTCATAAAGTTAAAACTCACTCTCAGGCCCTTCAAGTTTGTTCACCGACTTTACAAATCGATCGTGGAGCTCAGGAGTCCATCTCATTCTCGGCTTGTGATTGGCTGCTGATCCTGGAGAAGGGTGAGCTGAAACTGCGTCAATAGACATCACTCCAGCAACGCCACTTTGGCTTGGACTCATTCTGGTCACCGGATTTGACGAAGCCAACGGTGTCTCATAAATCTCCTGAATCAACCAAAATATAAAGTGTTAAAGGATAAATTCACTCTTCACACTCTCTATGTATCAACAACAAGACTGAATGAAGCTACTAGCAGCCAAAGTGATTATGAAGACCTTTAGGAGAAATGCTTGTCATGGCAATGCCAAGTAGCTGATGCAAACTCACAAAGAGAGACTGAGATGAACTTACATCAAGCCTAGGAGTTTCAGCTCCGTCTGTAATGGCCAGCTCGAGTTCATCAGAGAGAAACTGCAATTCCATTTGATCTGATAAGCAATAGCTATCATTCGAACAGTCAAGATCATGAAAACCGCCATTGGAACAAGCATCCCCAGAAAGATTAAGGAAATCTTTGACAAGCTTCCCGGAGCTGTCTCCATCAAAAGGATTACCCAAATCCTCACTGAAAACAGATGGAGATCTTGCAGACTCCACACCAGAAGCTGAGTGGTTAAAATCAGAGGGATCAGGGAGGAAAGGAAGACTGTTTCCTAGATGTTTCTGAGTCTCAGAGGTTGAAGAAGATGACAAGTAGAGGTTTGTGCAGAAGGTGGAAGACCGCGAGAACGTGCCCTGAGAACTATTCTTTGGCCACAGCTGAGCAGGTGAATCAGGAGATTGTGACCGTATGAAAGGAGATAGAGAAGACGAGCAAGCTTGACGAATTCCTTTACTGCATTCGTCTTGTCCTGTTGGCACAAGCCTATGTCTGTTCATGATTTCTTGATCAACTTAGCCAAATCGGTTTCTTAAATCAATCAAGATTGTCTCTTTGCAAGATCCACCAAGTTTACAGGGTACACTGAGTTACAGTTGACCTCCCAGCCGCTGAGAACCAAACATCAATGGAGGAAAATGATTAAACATAAGAATGTTGGGATCAAAAAAGCATGTAGTTGCAAGGAATGAGTCAGTTGTGTATTTTTAACTTCCAAAACAAGGTATACAGAATCATCCAGTGTTCCACCACCTTTGACTAAATCGATCCAAACCGAATCTAAATCTAACCAAACTTAACAAGATGACATGTTCCTTGGGAACTAAAAGTGTGTAATTGAAGCTTGAGTTTTTATATAAATAATCCTAGAATGAGAATCAACAGATTTTCAGATATTGATACAAGCAATGATTGAATGTGGTTTAAGAAAATGCAAACGAGGCACCGACACATGAAAATTTTAAAACTTGTATAGAGGAACCAAACCAGGTCTGTATAAAGACACGATTAAGGGACGAAAACGAAAAGAGAAATAAGGTGAAAAACCAAAATCTAGTACGCAAAATGAAGAATTTCAAGAAACAAATGTATAAAAGCAAGAGACTAACAAGAAGTAAGAGTCACAGAGAAAGTCGAAACCAGATTTTCACCAATATAAACAAAGGAATATAAACAGACCTGAGAGGATGATATAAAGTTTACTGCTTTGCTTTATATACTTCCTGCATTAAAAAAAAAAAAACACTTAACACTTTCGAGAAATTATCCTCTCGAGAATCACCAAATGTGACATCAAAAGCGGGAAAAATCGAAACTTTCTCTGAGAAAACACGAAAAGTTAGACAAAACCCATAAAAGTAACAGAAGTTGAAGTTTATCCGAACCAGA